CTGGCTCCCAATTCCTCTTTTTTTTTTTTTCTAGGAAAAGAACATATTAAGTCTTCCATGTCCACGGGTCCACCCACCTTGGACAGAAAGGCAGCTGCCCCTGTGGAAGGAGACGGTTCAGCCCAGAGGAAGGGGGCTCCACACACCAAAATCATCTCTTTTGCCAGCGTGTAGTCAGGGTGAAAACCCAGCACACGATGTTAGCAAAGCACTCTGCACTCACCGGATAGCAAACACTGAACAAATCTCCCCAAAGACAGGAAAGCATCAAGACTTTTTTTATTGTTGTACTTACATAGATAAACACAGGCAGACTCTGGTGGGGATTCAATGCTTAGTTCAGAGTTTGGGGGGGGGGGGGGAAGGCCCTTTTCCTGGACATAATGCAAAGGGACAATTAGAACTTCTATTTTGGCACATGTTTTTGACATATTTGAGGGTATACTAATGAGGTGAAGCTACAAATCTCCAAGGTAAGCATGCATCTTTATCCAGGCAAGGAGTAGAAAAGAAACGCAAACACCAGTGTTCAGACATCATTTAGAAGACAGAGGTGAAGTAACTTTCAACATGCAACTGTGTGGGTACTTTCAAGTTTCCTGTCCTTCCTCTTGCTCCCTGTTATTCCATTCAGTTGTGCCTTAAATTGTGCCATACGTCCTGAGGGATATAGTCCCTGACTGTCTGTAGACATCTGTTCGATCCTGAAAAGAACAAGTGAAAGAAGTCTGACTCCTTTTTTGATTTCAACCTGAATTCTGCAGCTTTGGATAGTTTCAGGACAAACCAGAATATTGTAACACAAGTTTCTACTTTTAAAGCTGTCAGATACTTGACATGGATAGGTCACTTTAAACTCTGTATTAATTAATTGCTTACAATCTAACATATTGCATCTACAATTATTACCTCTGTATAACAGACTCTAATCAAATCAGGGTCAGTGGCAACCCCAGAGAAGCAGAGTAATTTGACTAACCTTCTCTGTCTAGGTTTAGTCAAGACTCACCAGGTCTCCAAAGTAGGAAAACATTAAGTATAAATGGAATGAAACCCTAGGGGGGTAGAACACAAAACAAAAACTCTTTGGGCTTTTGTTCATTTATGCTCCATGGTGTATAACCCCAGAGAACCAATAAATGCAGATGGAGCACAAAAAATATGAACTCACCTTAATGTTGCATTTTTTTTTTATAACTTCGACTAATCCAAATGTTTGCTTCAAAAGTCATGTGTGAGAGAGAGTTTGCATGGTTTATATTCCCAGGATCCCATTATGGTAAAGCTCAAAACCAATTCACTCAAGTATTAGTAAAACTGAAAGGGAAAAAAGAGTCCAGATTTTCAGCTGATAATAAATCACTTTATGTCAAGCAAAAAAAAAAAATCTGACCTCTGCTATCCAGTATCACTTATTACAACAAGACTACAGAAATAAATATGGTAAATCAGGAATTAAATAGAAACATAAATTTTGGCCATCTAAATGCAGATGGAAAAATGAAGATATGCCTCAGATTGCTCAATCTGCCTCTACACAGCAGAAAGCTTCTGCATTATCCCCTTACTACACGTTGCTCTCCCTAGCTTTCCCTTGCAAGAGAATTTCATAACCTAAACCAGCTTGGTGTCAGGAAGATTTATTTGGTGCATGCTCCTTTGTATAATTATTCAATTATTACTCCTGCAATGCATAGCATTATCTGGAATAATTCTTCGCTACAACGGTGAACCTCTAAAGTAGCTTATGTTCCTTCTTATAATCCTCCCTTCACCCTACCTCCCTGTTGAGATCTGAAGAGAATATTATTCATTCTACAGACAGAAATTAGAGAGAAAGTAGTCCAACATTTCACAGAAAATCAGTGAGGCGGCAAGAAACTGAACTCATGTTGTAAAACCTAGCTAGTACATCAATGCCATGAACCGTACATCACGTTTCAGAAATAGCTAAGTGGGTTTTTCAGTCATATTAAATCTTCTGAGAACTGGTTTGCACCAAGATGCAAGGTTGTAAATTGCAGTGAAGGAGACACAGACAAAGCAAAACAAACAACAAAAATGATAAAAAACACCCCACTCTTTTGGAGATCTTAAGGAGTCCTTAGACAAGTGTTAACAAACACAACCACAACCCACTCGTTCAAAGCCCCTCTGTTAGAACTGAACCTGTTGGAACATAGCATGTATTCAGGTCCCTCGCTTTGCCTTTCCTCTGCTGCACCAACAGAAAGAGAAAATAGTAAAAGTTGTTACATGGCATTTGCATTTCAGCATGTAGGAATACTCCTAAAATAAAAATCCACGCAAACAGCTAGAGACAGATTACGCCAACCAAAGAGTACAAGCGAAGGAGAGATCTTCTTATTACAATTGTCCTCATGCTTTCAGTCATATAGTTTTCTACTGCCTTGATCCTTTTGATGCAACCTTCTCACCAGTTTTCAGTTATCAGACTCTTCCATACTGCATAGGATCTGATTTTGTAGCATAAAAAAAAAGGTAGAACAAAGCCTTTGGGTTTTCAATGGAAACTAGTGAGAAAAAGAATGAGACAGCTACTCCTACTGTCTAATGGCACAAATATCATTTTCAGTAAGTAAGCTAAAGCTTTTAGGTCAAGATTAAAATTGCTTTTCAATTAGATTTTTAAGTGATATTATTAACTCTAATAGGTCTACATCTACATATAGTAATAAGAATAGATAACTGTGACCGCAGAATCAAGCTTATAGTAATCAAGAGTTTATAGAAAACTCAAAAATCAACTCCAACTAAGGCAAAACATGGTTTTAAAGTAATCAGTGGTGATTTCATCACAATCCCATGCATAGAAAGCATGTTCTGGAACACAAGGTTTTGATTCTTATGTCACATCCCATGCTCCCACAGAACAAAAAGTGCTAAATAAATCCATAAATTGGCACATTCAGTGACCTGGAGCTTCCACAGCTCTCGAGCACCTTGCTCCCACTGGAAATGTGTAAAAATCTCTACAGATATGGACTATAACATTAAGTAGCTACTACTGGTTATCAAAAACATATTTAAAGCCCACTCCTTACAAGCCCAGATCCAGTTGAACTCCCACATTCAACTATGCAGGCTAAAATCCTTAATAGCAACTTACAAAATTACCACCACACACACAAAAATGCAAAACAAAACAAAACCCTACCAAGCTCCCAGTGTGGCACTAAGGATATTTATACATGGGAAGTAAAGAAAATATATAAGCATTTGCAAAATCCTGGGCAATATTATCCTTAGACCTGGCTTTTATTTGCAAATTAAGTATGCACTTTAAAACCTAACAATAACTAAATACAGAGGAGGTGACATTAAAAATCCACCCAGTGAGACTTCCTGCACATAACATAACAAAACACTTCTTTTGAAAACTAATTTTCAGTAATGTGAAAACTAATTGGTAGTGCTGCTGAGTTGTAATTCAATACAGTTTACAGAGATCAGACATGCATCCATAGCACTAGGGTAGCATCTCCAAAATGCAAAGTGCCGTAGAGCCAAACCCTGATATATTTGCAAGAAGAAAAAGAAGACATTTGCTTTTCCCCTTCCTCCTCTGCTGCTCTCAAGAACAAGAGGCTAAATTTCTTCTTCAAGAGAGCAGTAGCGATGAAACCGTAAGCCCCCTAAAGGACTGACTCATACAAAACCACTCTTAATTTCTTCCACAGCAGCTGCCCCTACATCTTGGTACAGGGAAAGATTGCTCAGAGAGAGATACCACATCTACGTGGAAATAGGGGTACATTAAGAACTCATACCTGAGCAGACAAGGTACTGAGGTTGGCTCTACTGCACTAACACCTGCAATACGCATCATGCTACAACATCCATAAAAAAGCTGGGTATTATATCAGGAAAGGGAGGAAAAGCACAAGGAAAAGCACAAGGACAAGCAACACAGCAGCTGACCCTTTTCAGTGGCACTGAAAGCAATGGTGAGCACCTTTCTATAAACCAATTTCTTGCCGAAGCTGGGCAAGCTGAATAGACACAGGTGAGTTTTGGCATCGGCCATAATTAAGGGAAATCAGCTTACTAGCACTTAACTTCTGAATGAAAGGCACAGCATGAAGACTTCCAGACAGAGGTTATCTGCATTGGCTTTACACCTTCAGGTCGCTTGTTTTAAATTTATAGCCAGTCTTTGTAGACAAGGAGAGGGAAAGGTCTTTCTAAACAAATCAACACGGCGAAACCGCGGTGGTTAAGTTCTGAAGGGATGAGCACCGAGAGCTGGGGGGTCACGGGAAGAAAAAACTTAAGGAAAATGAATGTGAATTTTACAGGGGGAATGAACGTCCCTTTTACGAGGCCCTCGTAGAGGGAAGAGTCAAATGAGACCAGGCTGTCACCGCTTTCCTAATTGCAAAGGTGCTGCCTCGAAGGGGAGAAAGCCTCCCTTAGCATCTTCCCGTGAAGCACCCCAAAAAGCAGCGAGGGCTCGTCCTCCCCCCCAAGCGTAACTCAGACCGTAACGTCTGAAATTTATGAACAGCGATTTTAAACACCGATGTGGCCAGATAGATTTTTTTTTTTTTTTTTTTTTTTCTCAACGGGGAAATCAAAGCAACCGCTTCGGGAACTCAACGGGGCGTCACCGCAGCGAGAGGGAGAGGAAAGGGCAGGGAAAGAGGGCAGAGGGACGAGGGGGAGGCCGGGTTTGCTTTGCCTGCAGGTATTTATTTCTTAAGGGCATCGCCTCCGGCTTGCGGGGGCCGGGGGGGGGGGGTTTGCTGCCGTCGGGGCCGGGCCGGGAGCGGCCACCGCTCCCCCGGGGTGACCGATCCGCAGCCAGCAGGCGAGCGACGGGCCCTCCTCTTGCTCTCCAACTGCCCCCAACCTCCTAAAATAAGGAACCGAGGCGGCCAGGCCGACCCTGGCCCCGGGGGGAGCGGGGCACCGCCGCTCCGCTCCCCACGGTTCCTCCTCTCCCCGCGGCGCGGGGGTGAGCCAACGCGCCGCCGTCCACCCGTGCAACACCTCCGCAACACATTTTATTTACACGAAATCAACTCGGGGCACGGTACATTATATACAGATATTTTCCCCCTCCAACAAGGCAGAGCCTGTGCAAGATACGAGTAGCATCCTTTGGAGCGGATCCGACAGTCCACGGGAAACGTCCCCCCCCGCTGCGAGGTATCAGCTGTCGGAGTCCAAGTCACTTTTCCCGTCCTCTTGTCTCTTCTCCGGAGACGTTTTAGACGCTTTATTCCATTTTTGTGCGTTTTCTGACTCCTCCGAAGACGATCGCTTTTGCCTCCTCCACTTTGCCCGGCGGTTTTTGAACCAAACCTATTTCGTAAAAATAAAATAAAATAAAATAAAATATGGGGGGGGGGGGGAAATACAAATCCGCCAACCCGCGGACTGCCCCCCCGCCCTGCCGGAGCCCTGCCTCGCCCGGAGCCGCTCGCAGCCGAGGGGAGAGCGGTCGCTCCCGGGGGGGGGGGGGGGGGGGGGGGGGGGGGGTGTTGGGGAAAAGCTGAGCGCCTTCGGGAGCCACGGCCTCCTCCCGACATTTGCTCACAGCCGTGCGATCGGCTCGGCCAGCCGCCTCCAGGAGGGCTCTTGCAAATCGTTAAGACAAAACATTCCCGGGCCGAAAACCTGTTGCTCTTCCCCCCCCCCCGCGGCACCTCCAGCCCGAGCCCGTTTAAACGCGAAAGGGGGAGAAGGAAAGCAAAAATACCTCCACTTTTTCCTCCCTTAAGTGCACCCTTCTGGCCAGCTGTTCCCTGGTGCCCACGTCTGGGTATTTCGTTTCCTGGAAGAGGTTTTCCAGCGCTTCCAGCTGCTCGTCAGTGAAGATCGTCCGATGCCGCCTTTTTCGCCGGCAGTGCAGCTGGTTCAGCAGCTGCAGCTCCGTCCGCGACAAAGTGCCCACGTTCATGTAGGGCAACATCTGATGGGGAACAGGGGACATCAGGACTGACCCAGTGCCCTCGTAACCTACGGACAGACAGACGAGACGACGACAGGCTTTGCATGAGATCGCTGCTCCCCCCAGCCCCACGCCGCGAAAACGCTCTCCCACCCCGCCCCGCCGCCCACCCGCGCTCCTGCGGGCCGCCAGCTCCCCCCCCCCCCCCCCCCCCCACTCCTGCGGGAAACAAAGAAAGCCCGTCCCGTCCCACGCGGGGGCCGCCTTACCTGCGGGGGGGACGCAGGAGCACTGCTGGGCGCCCAGGGGGGGCACGGCCCCGCAGCACGCGGGGCCCACGGGGGACGCGGGCACATGGAGCTGCCCGTAGTAGTAGTTGCTGTAGCCGAGCCGAGATCCGGTGACGGCCGGGGGCAGCGCGGAGGCGGGGGCCACCGCCCGGGAGTAAAACCCGCCGTAGTCGGAGGAGCCGCCGTAGAGCGAGTCCCCGTGGAGGCCGGGGAAGACGACGGGAGCGGCGGTCGGGGGGGGCAGCAGCACCGAATCCTTGCAGCGAGGTCTGGCCGCCAGGATGTTGTCGATGCTGAACATGCTCGCAGGCATACCCCAAACCGTGCCGGGGCAGGGCAGCGGGAAGGGAGGGACGGGGAGAAAGAGGGGAGGGGGGGGGGGGGGGGGGGGGGGGGAGAGGGAGGGTAGGTGGTGGTGGTGGCTGGGGTGGGGGGGTGAAGGGGGAAAAGCTGGAGAGACACGGGATCGAAACTTTTCGGAGAAATGTTAAAAAGGGGATCGGAGAGAGAAGAGCGGAGCTTTTTTTTTTTTTTTTTTTTTTTTTCCGAGGGCAGCTTGCGGGCAGAGCGCGCGTGTGTGTCCGTGCGTGTGCGTGTGCGCAGGATCCACCCCTGGAACTTTTCCTCCCACCCCCCCCCCACCCCTCCCTCAACTCTCGCCTGTTTACTGATCTCAACCCAGAGGGCTGCTCGGAGTATAATCCATGTGAACCTCTTCCCTTTTTTATACCCAGGCGACGTCATCCTGGATTTAGTTCCTGGTAATATGCAGATGACAAACAAAACCAGATTTGATTTTTTTTTTTTTTTTTTCTTTCTCCCCCTTTTTTGGTGGGGAAGAGGTGGGGGTTACACAAAGGAGTGAAAGGAGCTCGGGTCTGTGTATTGAGAATTAATGAAATTAACGTAATCCTTTCCATTAGTGGTTTTTTTTTTGAGAGGCCCCAGATTTAGGCTTGATCTCTGCTGCACCGGCTAATTGCCCAGGTTAATCTTATTAATGCCATTGTGCAGAAGTGGTTAGCAGCTCCTACTCTTGTCTATTATGCACCTACTTTGCTCGTGTTAGTTCACATTAGTGGGTGCGATTTCCTCTGTCTGAAGCTCGGATTCATTGTTTATGCTTCGAATTGCTTAAAAAAGCATTAAAAATATATATATATAAATAAACTGCAATACAACCATGCAACTCCCCCCCTCCAAGTGTTTCTGTAGCAGGGTTTGAATCCTGCGTCCCCCGACTCGGGGAACTGAAAGGGCACCGAGGAGTATGCGTTCTTCTGATTTAAGCTT